AGAGAGAGAGAGAGAGAGAGAGAAAGAGAGAGAGAGAGAGAGAGAATAGCTCATTGAGGAAGCTGTGGCCCATTGAGTCACACAGTTTACTCTTTAGTCCATTCATCTTTACTTGTAAGTGTTCATTGCCACGGGTCATTGGTCTGGCTCTAGGCCTCTGGTTTCTGCTATATCACAGATAATGACTCTCAATGGGGCTCCGCTTGTATATCCTGTTCTTGTCCTGTGTTGTGGAGATCCTGCATTCTTGGGGCTGAAGGTTCATCCCCTTCACCTGCTCCAGCAGATCATAGATGAAATGAATGTTGGGGTGGGCCAGCTTGTAGCCCTGGTTCTGGGCCTGGGTGGTAGCTGGGTTGGTCAGCTCACTAGCTTTCCTTCATTGTCACCAACCAGGTGAGCTCTCCAGCACTGCCTCAGCTAGCTCAGCCAGGGCAGCCTACAGCAAGGAGCAGGGCCAGTTCTCCTGCTCTCAGGTCCTCAGATCTGGTTCACCTGCATTTACACCACCAGGGCCAGCTCTACTGCTCTGCCCAGGTGAGGTGGTCATCTTCGGTCTATCACAGAAAGTGCAGCAAAGGTTCCTATAGCACATTTGGGAGGGAGGAGATGGTTCAAAGGAGAACTCAAACTTGAGTGAATGTGTTATTACATAGCGCCTATCAATTGGGGATATCTGTACTTTTTGGTGAGGGCTGTGTTAGACTGGGTATGGTGATACACACCTCTTAATTCCTGGCACGTGAAGAATCAGGCAGGAGGATGACAAATTTGAGACCAGTGAGACTTTATCGACAAAAGGGAAGTGTTGTAGAGGGTGGTGGTTAATAGAGTGACCCATAACTGGCTGGGATGCAGGGAATAAGAGCCTGCAAAATGCTCAGTCCTAGAGAGAACATATATACCAAACTCTTCTCCATCACAAGGCTCAGGGAGCATTGTAGTAGAAGGAGTACAAAGAGTATAAGGGCCAGCCAGAGGAGGTGGTTGACTATAAGGAAACATTATCTTCTGGACACAGCAGAACTGCTCTACATATGAACTCCCAGTGGTTGCAATAGCATGCCCAAGACTGGTGCAAGTCTAAGCTAGACTAAATTCCTGTATGGAGCTGGAAGTTGAATACACAATCCTACTCCTAGACATGGAGTGGTCAGCAATTAGGTTAGCTGCAGGGAGATGGAGAGACAGTTTATTCCAAGAGTATAGCCCTTGGAAAGTCTATCATTCTCCCAGTGGAAGACAGTCATGCTCCTCACATCTGTCTTGACATTCTTTCTCACTTTGTAATTCCCAGTAGGCATATGCTAATGATTGCTTGCTGAGAGCCTTTGAAGCATGCTCTACCAAAAATGCATTATTCAAAATACTTTGATATTTTCCTGTCTGATAAAAGTTGGTACTATTTATTGAGTGATTTTTGACATCTCATCCACAAATATTGACTATTTCAAAATGTTGAGATTCCACATTTGCATTACAGACCTCAAGTTCAGCTCTGGGTCACTCTGTATGAATATGTATACTAGTTATTCTCAGGTTTACCTACCCAGTAGAGCAATGAACTTTCTTAGTTTAATTAACTAACTCAATGTTTCTGCCTTAATCAGCACCTCCTAGTCCAAGATCATCACTCTGAATCACTGAGTCCACTTTTCATAGCTAGCCTGGATCCAGCCTCAGAATCTTTCTAAACACAAAGCCCCATGGAACCATTGCCAGGCAGTCTGAGTCTGCACTGGGATTGAAGCTTCTTGTAATCCCTACTTGGGGTTTCAAAGAAACACTGTATTTTGTGGTCATGTTACAGCTAAATTAAACTAGAAGGAACATGGTATATTTAGAGGAAATTTGTGAAATCAAATATAGAATGAGCAAGAGATAGTTGTAAAGTGAAATCTCCAGACTATAACTAGTAAAATCCCTGTAAAGTCTACTTTATTAAAGAGAACATACTGCAGGGGGAGAGGGGGACAATATACACGATTTATTCCATACTGGCTAGATTGACATCAGCAATAGAACATTACAAAGAATTCACCCATCATAGAATCTACCCTTCTAATACAATTCAGTGTATTCCCAAAGTTGCACAGCCATCTCATTGTTATGTGATTCTAGAACATTTGTGCCGTTCAAAACAGTGGTGGTGCACGCCTTTAATCCCAGCACTCTGGAGGCAGAGGCAGGCGGATCTCTGTGAGTTCAAGACCAACCTAGTCAACAAGAGCTAGTTTCCACAACAGCCTCCAAAGCCACAGAGAGACCCTGCCTCAACCCCCCCCAACATTTTTTTTTCTAAACTCATTCACAGGGTTTTCACCCTTGTTTCACCAGCCTGTGGAGACCACAATCTATATGATTTGCCCATTCTGGTGTATGGCTAGCTTCTTCCCTTAGATGTCTTCGAAGTTCACCTGTATTAAAATTTCATTCCTTCTTAACATGAAGTCCATTTTGCATCCTGCAGTCATCAGCTGACTGATGTTTGGGTTACTCTATCTTTTGGCTATGATGAGCAGGGCTGCTATTATGAGCATGCATGTGAGTTTTCAGTAGATGATCATTCGAATCTTTCTCACTGATGAGACCAT